GATGGAGGGAATACACAGAGTAACTGTACCTAAAAGAACTGGTTGATGTTCATCCATTTCAGGAGGTGGCATATGATCAAGAACAAATGGTACTGAAGGAAGAAGTTGAAGCTGCACTGAAAGAATTGGAGAAAAACAAGCTATGCCAAGAGATTTGGAAGACAGCTACCTGGCCAACTGACTGGAGGAGGTCCATATTTGTACCCATTCCAAAGAAAGGTGATCTCATAGAACATGGAAATTATTGAACAATATCATAGTGGCTAAGGCACTTGACTGCTAACCAGAAGGCTGGCGGTTCAAACCCACCGGCCACTCCTCGGAAGGAAGATGGGGCAATCTACTTCTGTAGTGATACTGCCTCAGAAACCCAAGGAGGGTTCGCTATGAGTCGGGTCCGACTTGATGGCACATAACAACTAACAACAACATCATTAATATCACATCCAAATAAAATCTTAAAAGAAAAAAAAAAAAATCTAATTCATTGCTGTCAAGTCAGATCTGATCATAGTAACCCTCCTTGGGTTTCTGAGGTATTATCACTATGGAAGTAGATTACTCAATCTTCCTCCCAAGAAGTGGCAGGTGGGTTTGAACAGACAGCCTTCTGGTTACCAGTCAAATGCCTTCTAAATAAAATCTTACTGAAGATAATTCAAAAATGGTTGGAGCAGTATATTGACAGAGAACTTCCAGAAATGCAAACTGGATTCAGAAGAGGACAAGGAATGACGAATATCGTTGATGTCAGATGGTTCTTGGCTGAAAGCAAAGAATACCAGAAATATATTTACTTGTGTTTTATTGACTATGCAAAAACATTTGATTGTGTGGATCATAACAAGTTATGGATAACATTGTGAAGAATGGGAATTCCAGAACACTAAATTGTGCTCATGAGGAACCTGTACATAGATCAGGAGGCTGTCATTTGAACAGAACAAGGTGATACTGCATGGCTTAAAATCAGGAAGGGAGTGTGTCAGGGTTGTAGCCTTTCACCATATTTATTCAATATGTAAGCTGAGCAAATACTTCAAGAAGATGGAGTATATGAAGAAGAATGTGGCATCAGGATGGGAGAAAGACTCATTAACAACCTGTGATATGCAGATGACACAATTTGACTTTCTGAAAGTGAGGATGACTTGAAGCACTTACTGATGAAGACTGAAGACTACAGTCTGCAGTATGGATTACACCTCAATGAAAAGAAAACAGAAATCCTCACAACTAGACCAATAGGCAGCATCATGATAAATGGAGAAAAAAATTGAAGTTCATATTACTTAGTTCTACAATCAACAGCAATGAAAGCAGCAGTCAAGACATCAAATGCATTAGGCAAATCTGCTGCAAAAGATCTCTTTCCAGCTGCAGAGGAAAGATGTCTCCTTGAAGACTAAGGTGTGCCTAACCCAAACCATAGTATTTTCAATTGTCTCTTATGCATGTGACAGCTGGACAATGAATAAAGAAGACCAAAGAAGAGTTGATGCTTTTGAGTTTTGATGTTGACGAAGAATATTGAAAGTATCATGGACTGCTAAAAGAACTAACAAATCTGTCCTGGACAAAGTGCAGCTGGAACACTCCTTAGAAGTGAGAATGGTCAGACTTTTTCTCACCTACTTTGGTCATGTTGTCAGAGGGGACTATTTCCTGGAGAATGATATCATGCTTGATAAAGAGGAGGGTCAACAAAAAAGGGCAAAGCCCTCAACAAGATGGATTGACACAGTGACTACAATTATGGGCTCAGGTATAGCAAGGATCATGGGGCAGGCACAGGACCAGGCAGCATTTTGTTCTGTTGTACGTAGGGTCACTATAAGATGGAGACAACTCGATGACACCTACCAAAAAAAAACAGTCATTTTTTTACTTATTTATAGATGAGAACAATAATATCTATCTTTAAGGGCAGCTGTAACAGAGGATATTGCATACAAATTTCCTAGTACATAATTAGTACTCTATATCATCCACATTATTATTGCTTTTCTGCTTGCTACCAGATTTGTTTTTCTATGCCAGTCTTGCTGGCAGAAATATAGATCAACATATTCCCAGAATGTAAGAAAGTACTAAGTGCTCCATAATTAGTTTAATGGTTGATTAAATGATGATTGTTAGCAAATTTCTATTTCTTTTCCCTTGCAGGTGTCTGGAGATGAGTCCTAAAAATTGGACTCAGGTGACAGAGATTGTCCTTCTGGGCTTCCCTGGCAGCTATATCCTGCAGTTCCTGTTATTCCTGGGGTTGATGGTGACCTACATTGTAACAGCCACAGGCAACCTGTTAATTATTGTGCTGAGCTTGGTTGACAGATGCATGCACACACAGATGTATCTCATCCTGCAAAACCCGTCCTCTCTGGAGCTGTTGTTTGTGTCAGTTGTAGTTCCCAAGATGCTTGTCATTATACTTAGAAGGGATCACAGCATCTTATTTGCTTGCTGCATCATCCAGTCCTACCTCTACTTCTTCTTAGGCACCAATGACTTCTTCCTTGGCGATGCCCAGACCTCTACGACTGCTGCTTGACAAAGCTCCAGCTGTCAAGTGTCTTGCGTGGAAGTCAATTCCACCTTTACTTTCAATTGTATTCTGGTCCATTATTTTAATTGCTACAATAATCTTTATGGCGATCATGCTCCTTCTGGTTGATCCCAGAGGGTCCAAAACTGATTTTCGTGTTTCCCATGAATCAGGCCACCTTCCAGATGACTCTCTGATTTTCAATTCCAAAAACCCTGGTTTTCCTAGAAATCCCCATGATGATCCAGAGCTGGAAATGCCCCTGGGAATCCTAAAGACATTGAGAATTCACATTGGTGGAAAGATGTCATGGCTACTCACTGTCCTACAATATCAACCCCTGCAACACAACATAGAAAAGGGATTACTCCTGATAGGAAGAAACTTTGGCCTAAGTGGCTGCCTCCTACAGTTAAGCCTCCTTCTAATGTAGCTTATAGAATTAATGGTAGACTTTGGTATCCTCCTCGGGGAGGGGAGCCTAAACCTTCCCGATGGCATGACCTTCCTCTTCCTTATACTGGGGCCTACATAGAAGGTAAAAAAATGGTGTGGGTAGATGGAAAAAGAGTTCCTTTTTACTCTCTCCCTTTCTTAGAGAGATTAAAACGATCAGGGCCTAG